TTGTGGACAGTTTCAGTAAGAATTAATGACAATGATTCAGAAAGGAATTTTATGCAAAGTGCATTTATGTGTGTGCATGTTACACTTATAGTTCAATTGATATAACACTCAACATAAATTAAAAGAATATCATGATTCTCCATTCATTAAACTATTACTAAATCAAGATAACATGTTAGGATTTTCACAATATTATATATTTATCATAATTACAATTAGTAATGAAGATAATTTCTCATTTTCATTCTTACTGCAAATACTTAGCAATGTATTGTAAGTTATTAGTTTAATAACTGTATTTAACTTGCCACGGCTCATAAATATATATTGACACAGTTCTCTTTTCACATTTCCCCATCCCCAATGCCAGCACCCTAGTCCAAGCTACTATCAGCAATCACCTAAATGATCTCACTGTAGCCACTCAATCTGTCCTCCATTTAGTAATGTACTGATAACTATTTAACTAGCTCTCCTGGAGAGGAGGAAAGTCCTCATTTGTAGAATTCCCAATGCTATGATGTAACTACACCCACCATGGCTGATTTCAAACTTTCAGTGTGAAGTCACTGAATCTAGAGCTGGGGAGAACTGCTATCAAATTGGCTCTCCTAAGCCAGCTCCATTTCACCACTACCCCAACCATACCTAATTCATTCTCTATAACAAACAAACAAAGTTTTCAAAAGGCAAATCTGACCATGTTGCTTGGCCCTGCTAACATAATTTGGCTTCCTTTTCCTCCCACAAGCCTTCCTTCAATTTCTCCACACTCCCATCCATCACAGAATACTTTAAGAAGCTATTTTGTTTTTTCAGTTAGTTAACTAATATTCTGTAGACGTTAGCTCAAGAGTCACTTCCTCAGGGACATTTTACCTGACCTCCTTGGCTATGTTACAACCTCTTACCAGCCCTTATAATGAGATTATAATGAGATACACCTCTACATTATAGCCACAGCTACACTTTTGCTTTTTTCTTTTCTTTTCTTTTCTTTTCTTTTCTTTTCTTTTTTTTGGAGACAGAGTCTTGCTGTGTCACCAGGCTGGAATGCAATGACGTAATCTCGGCTCACTGTAACCTTCACCTCCCAGGTTCAAGTGATTCTCTTTCCTCAGCCTCTCGAGTAGCTGGGACTATAGGCATGCACCACCACGCCCAGCTAATTTTTGTATTTTTAGTAGAGAAGGGATTTCACCTGCTTTCCAACACAAAATCCCTATCACTATGCACAGTGCCAAGAACAAAGCAGACACTCAAGAAGTACCTATTTTTGATAAATTAACAAATACATATCTGCCTAAAAGCATAAATAAATATGTTCCCCTGAAGATTGTCAAGGAAAATTGGAGATCAGCTTGTAATATTATTCTTTGATGTCTCTTCAATATAACTACAGAGTTTGTGTAACAACTTTAGGAGACTAAAGCGGTGACCTTAGAGACAGTACTTAACTGTTCCAAATCTAACATGTACTATTCATTCAGATAAATAAACAAAAAGAGCCGACAAAACTTTAAACCTGTGTGTTAAGTACCCTCTAAGAATAAAATAGGTTAGTGTTAGCAATTATTTAAAAATAAGACTTTTGTACTAAATGATAACATCTGTGACTTTTCAGAAGGAGCTTCTTGAACCTACTTCATGACAAGAAATTGAAGCATTACAAAGAGGTCTTGAAACTTGGAGTGAATGACAATACGTTTAAGTAATGCTTCATCTACGCAAGAGTCAACAATGAATCAAATCTATTCCTAAGGTTAGATTTATTTATATAAAATAATATAAAAACGTGGACATGGACAAAGAATAGATTAATTTTTATTTTACCTCTGCATTTCTAACTTTACAATGGGCATAAAAATCCCTTCATTTCAGACTTTGAGGTATGGTATGTACAGAATATTTGCATTTCAACAAGCATATTTCTCACAAAGTATTAATACAAAATATAATCCAAAGCCAATCATGGTTATTCTTTCATTCTCTTCAGAGTTTGAGCTCTATGTACATTTCATGAAATGCTCATTTACATAGAACCGACTTGAGAAAAGTAGAGTTTTGAGGAACATGCTGAGTGTAGCTGGATATTTGGGCATACTTTTAATAGTAGGATTTTTATGAATTTATAATTCCACTCTGTGTGTCCATGTGTGCCCATTATTGAGCTCCCAATTATAAGTATGGATATGTGATATTTGATTTTCTAAGTTATTTCACTTAGGATAATGACCTCTAGCTCCATCCATGTTGCTGAAAAGACATGATTTCAGTCTTTTTTTATGGTGTATATATATATCACATTTTCTTTATCCAACCATCTGTTGAGGGGCACTTAGGTTGATTCCATGACTTGACTGTTGTGAACAGTCACTCTCAAAGCTTTGACCCCAGCATTCTATGCTTATGATTAAATATTTGAAAATTGTACATTCTTTTTGGATTACATAGAATATTCTATTTTTTAGCAAGTTTTTCTTTTCCATATGAGTTACATATCAAACTAAACTCAGAAGTGAAGTAAAATCCCCATCTTTGTTTCCTGAATTAAGATGAATTTTAGATATTGCAACAAGTGGAACGCTCTGGTCCTCTCCTACTGTAAGGCGCAATATAGCTTTCCTTCTTAAAGATTTAGATAGTTTCTCCCTATCACTTGCTATGCTGAAAAGTTTATACTTCATTCCTAGTAGGAGTTCCTAATTCTTATTTCTCCTTATCAAATGTCTAAAAACTAATAAATACATGAGAATATTTAATCACAAATTGTCAAAACTAAAATATTTATCATCAGAATATAACTAAACATTGGTTAGATAATACAAATATCTCAGTCATAAAATGTTTTTTACTTTCTAAAGTGATGTAATTATGTATTACATATTCTTTCTTATGTACAGTCTTACATATTCTGAGATGACTATTTCAGTTAGTCTTAGCAACAAATTTACTGGGTTCTGAATTAGATGACTCTATGAATCCTATATTTTAAAGAGTCAATGATTTATGAATTTATATGTGAAGACTGTAAAATTCAAGGGGAAAATTTACTTACAGAAGTAATTCCATCCTAAATTAAAAAGAAATATTTATTATCCAAAGACAATATCTCAACTTCTAGCATTAGTTTTATATTGGTGGGTGATTATTTTATGTCTACTATTTTTTTTTTTTTTTTTTTTTTTTTTTGAGATGGAGTTTCGCTCTTGTCACCCAGACCGGAGTGCAATGACACAATCTCAGCTCACTGCAACCTCTGCCTCCCAGGTTCAGTGATTCTCCTGCCTCAGCCTCCCAAGTAGTTGGGATTCCAGGTGCCTGCCACCATGCCTGGCTAGTTTTTTTGTATTTTTCGTAGAGACGGGGTTTCACCATGTTGGTCAGGCTGGTCTCGAACTCCTGACCTCAAGTGATCTGCCCGCTTTGGCCTCCCAAAGTGCTGGGATTAAAGGTGTGAGTCAACGTGCCCAGCCCTATCTAGTATTTTTTTTCTTATGGGAAATCCAAAATACACAAAACTGATATCATAAAGGGCTTTAGTAACTCCATTTATAAACAGTTGATGTGGCTATTTGACAATTATGTTTGTTGCAAAAAAATTACACAATTTATATGTTCTTGCCTCTCTATTATGTTTTAGGCATTGCATTATGAGGTAAAGTATCTCCCACATTAAAAAGAAACAAACAAACAAAGGTTAAGAAGGTTTATTTATTATTTATTTTAGAGACAGAGTCTTGCTTTGTCACCCAAGCTGGAGTAAGGCAGTGACATGGTCATAGCTCTTGGCAGCCTAAAAGTCCTAGGCTCAAATGATCCTTCCCCCTCAGCCTGGTGAGTATCTGTGACTACAGGTGCAAGCCACAGTGCCCAGGGGTTAAGAAAATTGGGGGAGTTGGGGGAAGAATCTGCCCAAGGCCTGGATTCCTAACCACTGAGTTATACAGCCTCTCAATAGCACAGCCAGAACAAATAACATAAAATAAAATTAAGTAGGTAAAAAATCATTTAAAATAAGAAATAAAGATACATACATTATATTTTAGTATTTAAATGTTTATGATTTAAATATAATAAAGAATTCTGACTTTTAAAATTAATGGTGATAATATTACCTATATTGAACATCCATTATTTTGACACCTCATCTATCTCTGCCTTCTTTTATCAATATCACCAATATGTCAATTGTGGAATCACTTTTCCCCTCCACATTTCATTCTGTGTTCCAGGGCTTGTCATGCAACAACAAATTATCTAGTCAATCACCACTAAATACTTTTGGATATAGCGATTGTTTCAGAATTGCCATGTCAAACAAGCCAAGCTAGTCAAAGCCAATCCAATGACACTCAAATCTGGGTTATTTTTGCTTTGATTAAAAGGAATGAGAAATTACCTCCTTCCACTGGATTTGTGGAGAAAATGAAAATCAATCCCGGTTCCTGCTGAAGGCAGCAATATCACCACTAGAGGATCCTCCCAGAAAATGAAAACCCCAGACAGAAGAGTCAAGCAAAAAGATGTAGATAGAGAGAATGACCCTTGATGATATCATTTGAGAACCAAAACTGTACTTGAAGAAATTGCTACCTTTGTACTTTATAAATTACATGAGCCGATAACCACCAGCACTCTTGATTCTTTTTTCTGAAACCAGTTAACATTTGGCTTCTGTCATTGACAAGAGTTTTGAGTTAATCACTATCTTGGCATTTATACTGTGTTGTCATATGTTCACACCTATCTTTTAATTCTTGAAATAATAGTGTGAGGTATGTAGGACATAAACAATTTCCATTTGATAGCGCCATCATTAAGATCACAATTGAAGACAGAAGTTATTCATTGAGACAAAATAGAAGAGATTATTTTTTAATGCACAAAATTTATTTCTTTCTTTATACTAATATTAACACATTTATTATAAATCACATTTTCTTATCAGTTATCTAATTGATTTTACAAGGCCTTGAAAAATTAAATGAACAACTCACTGTTTGGAAGGCTCAGGAAATTTTGGTTCTTCTCTTTTCTTCATTTCTATTGTTGGTTCCATAGGAGTAAGAACTACTGCAGCACATGAGACGACAGAGTGATGCGAGTCCTCCCGGCAAACTGTTTGTTCAAAAAAACCGAGAAATTGTAAATGTCAAAATTATTTATGAACTAGTCTCACTTCTCCTTTTTTCCCTTTCTATATTTAGTCTAATAAAAGATCTAATTCTACTAAAACATTAATTATTAAATTATCCTTAAATATTTTCTGCTCTAAGTCTTTTCACTCACTAGCTATATGACCTTGGGCAATTTTTCTTTTTTAAAGCCCAGGATGGAAAAGGTATTGCCAACAGTTTATAGTCCTTTTCTAAAACAGCTTTTCATCCAAGAATGAAAAGTGCACAAGTTATACATATACAGTTAAATGAATCTTTGCAACATGACCACACCTGCTAAGTCAGCATCAGGATCAATAAACAGAGCATCACCAGCACCCTAAATCCTCCTGTGGTACCCCTTCTCAAACACTACTGTAGCCTCTGAACTTAACCACTATCATCATTTATAGAACCATAAAGAAGTTTTGCCTATTTCTGACCTTTATACAAACGGGATCATATTCTTTTGGGAGCATTTTTTTTATTGTTTGTTTTGTTTTGTTTTGTTTTGTTTTTTGAGATGGAGTTTCGCTCTGTCGCCCAGGGTGGAGAGCAGTGGCACGATCTTGGCTCACTGCAACCTCCGCCTCCCAAGTTCAAGGGATTCTCCTGCGTCAGTCTCCCGAGTAGCTGGGATTACAGGCACCCGCCATCATGCTGGCTAATTTTTGTATTTTTAGTAGAGACGGGGTTTCACCAGGTTGGTCAGGCTGCTCTTGAACTCCTGACCTCATGATCCGCCCGCCTCAGCCTCCCAGAGTGCTGGGATTACAGGCATGAGCCACCGCACCAGGCCCTTTTTTTTTTGAGGAGTCTGGCTCTGTCACGCAGGCTGGAGTGCAGTGGCATGATCTCAGCTCAATGCAACCTCTGCCTCCCAGGTTCAAGTGATTCTCCTGCCTCAGCCTCGTGAGTAGCTAGGACTATAGGCATATCCTATGAGGCCCAGCTAATTTTTGTATTTTTTAGTAGAGACAGAGTTTCACCATGTTGTCCAGGATGGTCTCAATCTCCTGACCTCATGATCCGCCCACCTCCACCTCCCAAAGTGCTGGGATTACAGGCATGTGCCACCACACCCGGCCCAAGCATATTCTTTTATGTGTTTTTTATTTCATTCAATGTGTGCTTATAAGATTCATCTATGTCTAGTAGCAGTTGGTTCATTCTCATAGCTGTGTGGCTTTCCACTGGTGAATATACCACAATTTCTTTATACATTTCATTAATAATGAACACAAGCTATTTTCAGTTTGGGGCTATTTCAATTGTCTATGAACATTCTTGTACTTTTTTAAACAGTGCACAAACACATTTATATTAAAAAAAATCAAGAAGCTGTAATCGTTTCTAGGATATACTCATGTTTTATGTTCTGCTTTAGTAGCTACTGCCAAATACAACTCAGAACTGTCTGTACTAATTTGCATTGCCAACAATAGAGAAAGAGTTTCAGTTGTTCCACATCCACACCAACACTTGGTTTTGTCATTTTTTTCTTATTAAAGTTTTAATATTGTATTAATTTTCTATTGCAGCATAAAAAATTAACACAAACTTAGCAGCTTAAAATAACATCCATTAATCATTTCACAGTTCTGGAGATCAGAAATCCAGCTAGGTTCAACTGGGTTCCCTGATTAGGGTCTTACAAGGCCAAAATCAAGGTATCAATGAGTCTGTGCTCTTATCTAATGTCTCTGTGTGAAGAATCCACTTCCAGACTTACTCAGGTTAACAGAATTTACTTCCTTCCAGTAGCAGGATTCCAGTCTCCTTTTACCTTGCTAGCTGTTGTGTCTTAGGGACCACTCTGAGCTTCTAGGGTTACTCACAGGTTCATGGCCTATGGCCCATCCATCTCAGCACTGGGGAACATCCTTCACATTGAAGCCCTCTCGTGCTTTAAATATCTCTGATTTCTTCTTCTGCTGCCAACTAGGGAAAAAAAAATTCTTTCTGCTTTTAAAGGGCTCATGTGATTAGGTTACGTCTACCTAGATTATCTCCTTTTTGATTAACTCAAAGTCAACTTATTAGTAGCCCTAATTACATCTGCAAAATCCCTTTTGCCAACTAACAATCACAGCAGTGATGCCCTATCATCTTCCCAGTGAAGAAAAGTTAAGGGCTGGAGTCATGTGTCATCTTAGAATTCTGCCTACCAAAGCCATTCTTTTAAGTGTATAGTGGTATGGCATTGTAACTTCAATTTATGTATTTCTGATAATGAATGAAATTGAATACATACAGTGTATATTCAGTCCTCTTTTTACATGGTTCTAACATGCAAAAATTTCAGTTACATGGTTTAGTTAAATAACACCAGTCACCCCCCAAAAACAGGGTTCAAATTGCAGTTCATATGGTATACCAACTGTGAGTAATTGTATAAAGTGCAAACTTCTTTAGTAGCACTTCAGTACACAAATCACTATGTAAATAAAAGAGGTACATCATGATCAGTGACACACACATCACTTCTTTCAAATTCTGTCAATTATTGATAACTAGGCATTACTTACTCAGTTCAAGCACATAAATCATAATGTGTAGTTGCATTGCTTCCTTGTCCCCTTGTGATAAATTTATGTGACATTTTATAAAAAATAGACAATGTAAGGAAAAAATTTGCCAATGAAAATGAAAGTAGAGAAAATAAAAACTGATAGTGAAACCCCGTCTCTACTTAAAATACAAAAAATTAGCCGGGCATGGTGGCATGCATGTGTAGTCCCAATTATTTGGAAGGCTGTGGCAGGAGAATTGCTTGAACCCAAGAGGCTGAGGTTGCAGTGAGCCGAGATCAGGCCACTGCACTGCAGTCTGGGCGACAGAGTGAGACTCCGCCTCAAAAGAAAAAAAACCAAAAAACAAAAAACTAACAACAACAACAAAAAAATACGGAAAGTCCTGGCTGGGCACAGTGGTTCACACCTGTAATCCCATCACTTTGGGAGGCAGAGGTGGGCAGATCATGAGGTCAAGAGATTAAGACCATTCTGGTCAACATGGTGAAAGCCTGTCTTAGCTGGACGTGGTGGCACGTGCCTGTAATCCCAGCTACTCAGGAGGCTGAGGCAGGAGAATTACTTGATCCAGGGAGTCGGAGGTTGCAGTGAGCCAAGATCGCGCCACTGCACTCTAGCCTGGCCACAGGACGAGACTCCATCTCAAAAACAAAATGGATAGTGCTGGAAGTGATATTTGAATCAAACAAAAAAACGGAGTGCGACAAACAGGAACAGTCAAGTTTTAATTACTCCATTATTTAATTTTACTTATAAAGCTAATGTTAATAATGTATAAAAAATTTTATTCACTTATACATTTTATAAAGGTAAATTATGGAACAGCAGACAATTATAACATAATGTAATGTAAAAAACATGAGACAGCGCCAAGTCATTCCATATTCAAATAGATTTGCAGCATCCATGGGTTGAAAAATCAATGATACATTTTTCACGATTATTTCCAACCATGGATATAAATAACAGTTTGAGGCAACAATATAAAAAGCTATATCCTAAATTTGCTCTTCTGTGAAAAGAATTTTTGTTGTTAATGTATTGCATGAAGTGCAGAATATTTCATCTTAGGCTTCTGTCACTAGAGAGTATCAGAGCAAGGCTAACTGTAAAATAAAAGTGCCCATTTATTTCTAGACAGATGAGGCCTTTTGGCCAAGATCAGAGTCACTTAACAACTACTGGAACTGCACCTAGTGGAAGTCAGTTGTCAGTAACCATCAGTTAATAAGAAAAGGATGATTCAGGCCTGAGAAACCAATGTTTAATTACAGGTTTTAAAAGAAGAAAAAATACGTGATAGTCACAAAAATTGCTCATCCTAAAACTTGGTTCTAAGCACTAGTCTTATTTATTTCTAGATAGTCATTAAATATATAAACACCAAAATGAACAAGGCTTCCAGGGACCACTCAGTCAGAGATCTGCAAACCTCAGGGCAGTGTAGAAATCATTTTTAGCTTTGAAATGAAGTAGTCTGACCTTGTCATGTAACCTTTTATTACACCACAAAAACTATGCTATTATAGGAAATGACTTTCTATTATTGCTGTATTCCCTAAAATGTTTCTTTCAGATTCATAATAAACTGAGATACAAAATCTAAACACTAAAATTTTAAACTACTCCTTTTCTCCAGTTTGGCTACATCAAAATAATTTTATTTAATTACTGAATTTCAATCATTGTTTTACTTTTTAGTTTATAAAATCATTGCTAAAGCATAAAAAAGCAATATATTTTATATGTTAATAAATTTCACAAAACTACCAAAGATTCACCAGAAGAGGCATTTTTGTCTTTCATGTAAAATTAAAACATTTAAATGACTGAAAGTGCCTAGAGCAGTTATAAGTAATGTGTCTTTGATATTCTTGCATTATATTTTATTTATACATATTTATTACATTTGAGATCACCACTCCAGTTCACCAAAATAGTTTACTATCAATCAGCAAATTGCAGCCTTAAAAAAGAGAATTTGCTTTTGACTTGGTAGAGTGTTCACGTTTCCATTTTCTGTTCCAAATATCCAGGATCCATGTATGTACCATGGAACAACCCACTGAGAAAGCTTAACCTAGCAAAAGAATTATTTAACAAACATTTAAATTACATGATAGACACAATTCTGCACTAACTGTGCATTGACTCTTGCTGTATTGTTTTTACCCTTCAGAAAAGTTCTATGGCATAAGTATTATTATTACTGCCATTGCACTTTTCAAGGTCACACAGTTTGAGTATAGAAAACCCTGAATTTGATCTATCTGTCACTAGTCCTCATGCTATTGAACATACTTCATGCTGATTCTCATTTAAATATATCAAGTGCTCTGAAGTACTAGTGTAAATGTAATAGTTTATCTTTTTCAATTGTTTATATTCAATAATATTCCTACATCTGAATTCTTTATTGTGAGAAAAA